TTTACGAACGAAAGTAGGAAGGGTACGGGGGGGGGGGAAGGGGGAGGAGGGGACATGTGGACTTAGGGGAAGGGGGGTGAGGAGAGTACCATAAAAAATTATTTTTCTAAAAGAATATTTTATAGACTCTAACCAAACACTAGAAAATATTTTTCGGGAAAAAATTTTCACTCGCCAACCAAAAATGAAAAAATAAGTGATAAAATCACTCGTTTTTCATGAAAATTTCCATGGAAAACATTTTCCTCCAATCCGTCCCTCTTAGTTTGTACGATAAATTCATAAGCTCTACAATACAAAAGCTTCCAGTGAGATTATTGGTTTTCATCCAAACTTCACACAATTATGGTAAATAATTCTTTTACTAAAAAGGAGAGGAAAATGAATTTAGGGTGTGGCTGGGAGTGTGGGGTGTTAAAGATGTTAGAATAGCTTGTACTTTTATGTTTCAGACCTTGTACCTTTTCAATTTTGTGAAAATGATATACTTACCCTTGTTAGAGTAAGTATATCATTAGGCATGCATAAAACCACTCTTGTCCCCAACACATGATTACGTTTTGCTTAGAGTTTTCATCTCTCTTTATGAAAAAGTGTCCACTACAACCACAACTTGTTGAACTATTTTAATTTGCTATGAAATGGCTAAAGTGGAGAACTGTGGAAGATTCAAAGAGGACATGGATGGATATAATCAAGGTTTGATAGGGTTGAGTCATAAATTTATCTCTCCACTATTCCCCTTTGACATTTTCATGGGTGGCTATTTGGAACTATATATAAAATGCGCTGGCACCGCTTTGCACTTAGCTCATGATTTGTCTCTTTCTATTCCTTACTTAATAAAGCTCCAAATGTCAATGACTAAATTTTACACATACAATAACCTGTTATGTTATCCCAACCCCTATAAAAACCCAAAAAATGACAAGGCTAAATAAAGTGTATTTTTAGCCCTATAAATTTGGATAATATTCTTGTTCTTCCCAATTGGGTTGTGCCACTCTGCACCCTGAATAGTGAACAGTACTGAGGTAATGTGTCAAATAATATTTTTAAAGCACTCGTAGTTCTTATTATTTTGAATTAGACTAGCTCAATGCATGTTTTGAGACAGTCTCTCGATAATTTTATTTTTTTGAGTAATTTTCATTTAAAGTACTTGTTTTTGGCCGTCACAATAGTGAGTGAAGCTTGTTGGGGGTGTTAATGACAATGTTTTAAGGATTATTCAAGCTTTTTCAGTATAAATTAGGAACAAAAACATGAGAAAGATAGTTTAAACCCAATAGAAGAGAAGGAAACAAGAATGTTTTGTTATATATATCTTCTCAAAAGAGTGTGTCTGTATCCATAGGTTAATTGTACTGTAACAAGTATTTTGACCATTCTAGAGTAAAACATGGTGAAATTATTTTGTTCATTTCAAGGTAATTAAGCTAAAAATTAATTCAACAGAAATAAAAATAATTTCTCAATGCATTTCTATCCTTTTGGACCAATTCTAGTGTGCGCGACTCTAACCATTTACTAGCTCTTATAGACTAAAATGACTTTTCTATGAAGCGGAAGATAGTTATTTCTTTTAACCAATGGACACGTCTAGTTGGTAAGCGTGCCAGGCTAATAAAAAGGGAAAAATATATTTAAAAAGAAAAGTATTAAATTGCATAAGACAAGACCAGACAAGATAACATTTACGTGGTTCGACAATTTTTGTCTTCTTCGCGACCAAATAAAGAATAGCTCTTTACTAATTGAAGAGAAAGAAGAAGTTGAGAGGATAATTACAGTTGAAGAAGATGATGCATATTTATAGGCAGAACATCTGCTGGAAAAAAGTTTCAGCGGATATGAATAAGCGAGAGGACGGTACCGTAAACTGTGTATCGAATTCTTTCTTTCATACGTGGCAGCCCAAGTTTTATGACCCTTCTTTCTTCATGTCTCTTTCTTTCTTATCTTTGTTTCTTTTTCTTTAATTTTTCATTTACCCACATGGATTTGTGGCATCAATCTCCCCCTCAAAACCATATACATCAAGAAAGAATTTTTTTTTTAAAAAAATATTTGTTATTCTCTGGTGGCGCCTCACTACAAGATAATATGAAATTTGCAATAAATTTGGTTATTGCCATATATTGAATATTGTTGCGAAAAGTACTTTTGACAACAAACAAAAGACGTTGTTGCAAAATATTGTCATAACGCAACAAAGAATGTTGTTGCCATTAATTATAATTTGGTCACACAATTGTGGCTTATGAAAATATTTAGCAACAACAATTATTGTTGCGATAAATTATTATTTTTTTGCAACAATATTACTGGTGGCAAAAAAATTGGTGGGTGGGTAGTTAATATTATGTTATAAAGCCTTTTAGCAACAAGTATTGTTGTGGCCAAAAAATTACCTTTTGCCAATAATATTACATTTTCTGTTGTACAACTAGCAACAATAAGTATGTAGTTGCTACTTGCTACATACACAATTTATATTTTTTTAATCTTTTAAAGCATCAAAAATATATATAAGTTGATATATGATGTATATTTGCAAAAGTCAATACAACTGAAGCACTAAGTATTTTACATGCTTTCAAAAACTAAATACCACTAAAGCATATGGTTTTACTTATAAAAAAGAACATCTCCAAGAGTCATAATTTCTACTCTAATAACAACCTTAAAAAGCAAATTTTCTTCCAGCACCTTGTGCATTGATGAACCATATTGCCAGCTATGTTGGTTTACTCATGCTCATCCTACAAAAGAAGATAAATTATAATTATATTTTTTATAAAAAAAAAACTATAAAGTACACAAGTACAGACCAAAAGAGAGAATTTGCATGGGCACCAATTAATATATGTATATATATATATATATATATATATATATTATTTTATTTTATTTTATTTTATTTTATTTTTTTTGTGTGTGTCGTCACTAGATTGGAGCAAAATTAAGTATGATGGACAAAATTATAGTTGCATATGAATTGTTGCTACTAG